AGAGGGTTGTGTTTAGGGACAGCCTGGGCTACATATAGAGACAATCTCAGAAACCCCAAACTCAAACCAAAATCAAACCAAACAAAATTAAAGCAGAAGGCCATTCTCAGCTTCTATGTATCCCCATATCAAAGCTCATGGATTGCATGGTAATTTTCCTTCTGCTCCACCCCAGTTCTTTATCATTACCTTCTATTCTTGGTGATCTAACTTCTGCATCCCACACTGTTGACATGACCTCACAGAGGCATGATTGGATGGTGATCTTTAGTAGTTTCCAGGAGACTCTTAGGTAAGAGTTGAATTTCATAACATAAAAGATAGATTTTTAAAAGGGCTCTTATTGGTAAAACATATAAAAAATAGGTGTCCTTCAAAATAAAATTAGCTCTCTGGTCTTAGCCGATTGATTTGGTTATCAGAGTAATTCACACACAGGATGGTACACAAATGTAGAAGGTGGTTAGACAAAGAAGGGTTGACTTCAGTGTTCTCTACTTCAGTGATGCTCAACCTTCCTAACACTGTGACCTGTAGTATGGAGCACGGGGGCCCCTTTGTTCCATCATGCCCTGCTAGCTTAACCCCCAAAATAACCACACAGAAATTGTATTAATTAAATTACTGCCTGGCCTATTAGCTCTAGCCTCTTATTGACTAACTCTCACATCTCGATTAACCCATTTCTATTAAATATTATATCACCACGTGACTGTGGCTTACCGGCAAGATTCTAACCTATGTCCGCCTCAGGCCAGAGATTCATGGTGTCTGCCACTCTGTCCTTCCCAGAATTCTGTTCTGTCTTCCCTGCCTACTTGAGAGCCGCCCTATCAACTAGGCCAAGGCAGTTTCTTTAATAACCAATGAAAGCAACACAAATACAGAAGGACCTCCTACACCAGTGACCCATTAGTACAGTTCCTCATGTTGTGGTGACCCCCAACCATAAAATTATTTTTGTTATCACTTTATAAATATAACTTTGCTACTGTTATGAATTGTAATGTAAATATCGGTGTTTTCTGATGCTTTTATGTGACCTCTGCAAAAGGTTAACTCACTAAGACGTGGCAACCCATATGTGGAAAACTCATGGAGCATGTATATACACTGCTGCCAAGACCAAAGAAGTTTTAATAGTGAAGACTATTTTAGCTATAAACTAATAATCCATATGCACAATTTAGTTAAGAAAATACATGGGTTACATTTAATTTCATGTGTTCTTAAATTTAATATTTTAACCACCTTCCACTGGACAACTGTACCATATCTATAAAGACATGTAAAATTGTGTAAAATACAATAGACATTATGTTATTATCATAGAACCCTGAATTTTTTGTATCTATTTTACCAAATCATATTTTAAACTTATTTACTAAAATGACCTAACACTCATCGTGTCCACTGTGTAAAAGGCATTGTTTCATTTTCATGTGATTTTCACGATGATCACTGTCACCCGTCAGTGCTCATAAAAATGTGACTGGAAAGCTGGTTTTGAGAGAAGAGTGTGCCTGCAGCAGCCAGCAGCTTGGGGATTTGCCAGCAGGTCCCAGAACTGGTTCTGGCTTCTCCAGGCATGGTTTCTTTCAGAGAGTGCAGCAAGAAGGGACGGGTCTGTCTCAGTTGTACATGTTTGTTCATGATCTGCTGTTGGTCCTTTTTACTTCGCTTTCTGTGCAGCAACCAGAGTGACCTTTGTAGCAGTCTAATGAATGGGTCCCCTTTTGATAACACCCTCAGCACCTTCCTGCCTTGCTTCTAAGACAAAGGGAAACCCAGGCAGTGGTGGTGCAGGCCTTTAAGTCCAGCATTCGGAGGGCAGAGGTAGGGGATTTCTGAATTTGAGGCCAAGCTGATTTATACAGTAAATTCCAGAAGGTCAGCGAAGGAAGAAAACCCTTTACATACACACAGCATTAAACTTAACTGGGCCTCTCTTTCTACCTCCAGCTCAATTCCTCACCATGTTGTCATTTGTCAGTTTTTACAAAATATTCAAAAATATACAAAATTCTATTAAAGGGGTACTTCATACTAAACAATAAAGTCTCCCTATGACTACAATATAAAGTTGAATTATAAAGTTCATGTATTCTTTAAATCAACATTTCTACATCATTGTACTTATACTATAGATAGAAATAATGTTTACATAGTTTATTTATATTATATATACAAATGACATCTACATGGACACATACACAATATTCTTATATTATCCACTAGGTAAAATTACAAAAGATTCTAACCCATTTAAATCTCTGTTAATAATGAATTTGAGGTAGTTACAATGATGCTTTGAATGATGAGCTGGTTGGGATAAATTTAGTGACCAAAGATGAAGGTAAAGTAAAGCATTTACAGAATGCTACAATTGGGTGATTAAAATTAAGTGGATAACCTAATTTTTAAGGGTGTTTATGATACAGTCATGGAAAGATGTACAAAACACATTGCTAAGAGCTGTTGTCATGGAAAGAAAAAACGTATAAACAGAGTACAGGAGAGATTTAATTTGTAGTCTATCTTGTAATTTTATCTTTTGCACCTGAGTGTGGTTGAATAAATTCTTTTTCTTAATTGCTCACTCCTGGCTACTTAATTATTTTTGTGCCCTGTTATTTGCAGTCTTCCGTGGTAGATGAGGCCAACTACCCATTCCATGGGATTAGGCTTGGTCATATGACCTGAATGAGCCCTGTGAAGGCAGCAGGGGTTTAAGTGAGCTACTGCGGCTTATGCCTTCTTTTCTTCTGGGATATATCACGAAAAGAATAATCCCAAGAGTCGTTCCTTCGAGGAAGAAGATATGCAGAACAGACTTGACTCTACCCTATGACTTTGAACCAGAATCCAAGAGATTTTATCCAGAAGCAGACACACTTACAGACTTGTAAACATGTAAAAGAACTCTGCCGCTGGAAGCCATTGAGTTGTTAACAATAGTTTGCTCCACTGTGTTGCTTTAATAGGAATTCTCCTAACTTTAATCAGGTTTCTGTGATAATGAGGTCTTACTGTATTCTTATAAACCGTGTTCAGTGCCTCTGTTGGAATCTGGGGAGGCGAGACCTCCTGGTGAGGAAAATAGGGTCTCTAGCTTGGGTGAAGACCTAACATTCCAGTAGAGCTGGTTCAACCACTTTGGCAAGGGAGGTGTGCTCACCTTAAGACATGCTAAAGAGATGGGAGGAATAATTAGGTGTTCCACAAGATACTGGGCGTTTCCTTTCCAGAATCCCCAACCCTAGAGTAGAAATTTAAGGGTTGAAGTCATACCAGGTCATATAGGTCTGCCTGTTTGCTTTTCCAAACTATTCAGAAAAGTATATCTTTATCTTTTTTCTCTTTGTTTTTAAATCATGCTTTCCTTTGCACTTTGGTCTCTCTCTCCTCCATGAACAATAGTTTGAATTTCCTTATTCTTTCTCTAAAGCTTCCTTTTTTCCCAAATGATTCTCATGCCAGCTTGAGTAACATGGCTTTTCCCTTCTCGCTTCATTTTACCTCTGGGAAGTAGTTGAGGTTTTACTACTGGCCCACCCTATGGTTTTTCTTCTAAACTCTAATAAAATGTCCTGGTGTTTCCATTTGTGTCTGTTCTTAAATTATTTTATTAATGAGACTAAGAATGCACAAAGGGGGCCCTGGTTTTACCCTTGTATAGATTCCCCACTGTCAACGGCTAGTAGCCCACTCATTCTGTACAACCACACACTTCACTATGCCTGCTAGCTGAATCATATGCCTTTAAAGCACTCTCAAACACATGTGGTCTCTTAGACTTACTATTACAGTTGAATCATTTCATTAATGTGGGGTAATTTGATGAAATGGGCGTATCGCATGTGTGAAAACTATATTGGATTCTTTGAAAAGCTCAGTAAAGTTCCTGAAATTGCATTTAGTAAATTATTTTCAAAAGTAAAAATGTAAAACTGTTGAAGGTTATACACTTAAGCTGAATTCTCTAATGTTTGACGTAGTCATCATATTTTATAAACACTGCAGTTAACAATAATGATAAATTATGAATATTTTATTGGTGTGGTTAGATGGTAGGTAGGCAGCTTCTGAGAAATGTGGTATTACATGCAAATACTAGTGTTCTGCCTTACCTATTTTAAGTTCAATTAAACTGTATCATTTTTCTATGATTCCTTGAGGACCGCTAACAGTTTTTCTTAACTGAATCTTCATAGAAGGTAAGGGACTCTTCCAAGTTCACACCATCCAGGAATACAAGAGTGGATGATAAAACTTTATGTTACTTCTTTCTCTCTACTAAATTCTAGAATCAAGGTGCAGAGCCTTTTAGAGATGGAAATAGGGCTATTTTATTCATGTATCTATTTACATTTCTATGTATGTGAGAGACTGTGTGTCGTGCATAAATGTGTCACACACTTGTGTGTAAGTGGCGGTTGTCTGTGAGTAGGTATTAAGGTCAGAGGAATGTCAGGTGTCCTACCTACTCTATTACTTTCTAACCTATTCCCTTGAAGCAGGGTCTCTCAGTGAACTTGAAGCTAGGTTGGAGGCCAGCAAACCCCAGTCATCCTCCTGTCTATTCCCCAACACAATTCTGGGGTTGCAGGCATATACAAACACACTCAATTTTTCATTTGAACTCAAACTCCATGCTTGCACAGAAAATGTTCTTATATATGGAGCCATCATCGCCTTAGTCCCAAGAACTTTCTATTTTTTCTCTCCTTCTCCCTTCCTTCCTTTCTTCCTTCCTGCCTTCCTCTCTTTCTTTTTTCTCCTTTTTTCTTACACTCATTTCAGTTCTAAACTAGACTTTCTGTTATCAATTAGCCTTATTAATTTATCCTTGTTTTAGTCATTGCCTTATATTCGTTTTAGTAATTAACAATTCATTTTTAGTTCATTTTCCCAAATTTTGTGTCTCTGCACACCTGCCAGTTTATAGCATTATAATAGGCATCTGAAAAACACAAATTTAATAGTTTTCCATAGTGCTGTTTTCTTTTATGGGTTTGTTGATGTGAGCTAAGATTTGATTTGTGTTTTGTTTATAATGCCTTCCGGTCAAATTTTGACTTCAGGTATGACAAAGTCACAACCGCATAATGTGTACTCCAATGGCTGCCTTGATCAAGTTTTTCTCTTTAGGCCACATTCTCATGCCTACATTTAATTCTTTGAAAAAGAGGAGAGCATATATATGAGGTTCAAACACAAGACTTTGTACATGCTAGGCTAACACTCTACCACCGAAGGTACACCCTCAGCTTTTGAGAAAGTCCTCTTTTAACAAGTCTCACAATTATACCTTTAGCAAAGAAATGTTCGCTAGATTATATTGTCTTCATAAGAGAGTCTGCTTCTGATCTTCATCAAGGAGATAACACCCTGGAATTTCAGAGTTAGACATTTCTTTGAGAAGCACAAGTCATCATTCCTAGGTGGAGTACTGAGACTCAGGAACACTTCAACAATAGCAAGGGAATGTTGCAGGCAACCTCAACATTCACCAGTGTTTTTCCTAAAGCCATCCATGGGCTTGGAAGCACATTTTGACTGAAAATGATCTGGGTTTAGAGATATTCTTTCATCAAACCTATGATTTTACTATACAGTCTTTGAGGGGCATCAAGGCCCCAGACAAAATCAAAATGGTTCCAATCTGGAAAGAGTTTGAAGTAGCGTAGATTTGTAACTTGGGGAAGTATCCTGGCCACATCTTGAGGTGTTATGAGGACATCATGTCCACCAGCCCAAATGGCAGTGGGCACCTTCATGGCTGTCAGGTCATAGATGGGAGGGCGACTCTGAGAGAGACAAAAAGCAATCATGAAAGACACTCTTCATTAGCAGCAAATGAACTTGAAATAAAGAAAGCCTGCAAAATGAGTATCTGCTATGAGCATAACTCTCTTAGACAATGAGAGAGTGAAGGGTGAAAAGTTCCCACACAACGAATTGTCCCTGCCTTCGGGGAGCTTGGGAAGGAAATGTGCAAAAGATAGCTAGCCAGGCACTTGAATACAGACTTTTAAGAAAGTTGGGTTTTGACAGGTATGGTGGTTTGAATAAGAATGGCCCCCATAAACTCATATATTTGAATAATTGGTCATCAGTTGATGGAACTGTTTGGGAAGGATTGGGAAGGGTGGCCTTGTTGGAGAAGATGTATCGCTGGGAGTGGACTTTAAGGTCCACTAAACCATGCCCTGTGTCTCCTTTTGCCTTATGGCTATTTCTCAAGGTGGGAGCTCTCAGCTACTGCTCCAGCGCCATTCCTGCCTGCCTCCTGCCATGCTTCCCACCATATTCTTAACCCCTGAAACTGTGAGCTCCAAACTAAACTCTTTTTTTTTTTTTTTTTTTTGATGAGTCCTGGTGTTGTAGCAATAGAAAAGCAAAGACAACAACAGGCAAAGATGAATGCTGGAAGGCTTCCCTGTGAAGGGCCAGTGTGCAGACCAAGACCAGGAGCGATAAACTCATCAATGCACCATGCTAAGGAATCCACATCTTTTATAATCTTTCAGACAAAGCGGAGTCATTTTTCAGAGCCCTGTACTAGGACAGATCAAGTATGAGCTGTGGGCTGACTCGAGAAAGAGTAGTTGAAGATGGATCCTACCAAACTGAGGACACACGGTGTGGATTCTCTCTAAATTAAAGCTCCAGAGAGATAACTGAATTCTCCAAAGAAGAATAAGGGGAACCTCTAAACACTCTTAGGAGGATGCCAATCATTTAGGAGGGTTAGGAAGACGAGGAACTAATAAAAGGGATAAAGAGGAAAAACAAATACCCAGAGCACTGGAGCACAGAAATCTAGGAAAAGGGGGAATTGTTCCAAATTGATAGAAACAACTTCAAAATCTGAGAATAAGAAAGTAAATTTGCTAATTAAAAGCCACACGTGGATTGCCACATAACAGGAAAAAAAAAACTCAAATAGATTTTTCCAAAGTCCAAGAAAGAAAGGGAAGGGGAAGTAAGCTTTTCCCACTTCCGTATGAAAAGACATTGAAAGAAACAGAAAAATGGAATGAGGACTTCAGAGAATCAGTGAATCAAAGAAAGGTTTGTTTGCTTATGTTTTATAAAGGACAGCAGTCTGGTAAGGCAAAAAGAGTGGCTGGTACCAAAAGCACTTTACAGATTAAAAGTAACTCACATAAAAAAATCTAATGACTTTCTTTATAGAAAAAAGATGAAAATATCATAAAATTTGTATGGAAGCAAAAAAAAGGACATATATAACCAAAGTGATCCTAAGCAGATAAAGAAATGTTTGCGATATATGGTTTCAAATGTACTACAGAGTGATAAGAATAAAAGAAGGCCATGCGGACTGACTGAACACGACAGAATACCTGGAAGCTAGTGATACAGCTACATGGATGTAAAAGTCATGCACTGGGGAAAGGACAACCTTTTCAAAAAATAGTCCGGGAAAACTGGAGGGCCTCAGGTTTAAAAATGAAATAAGAGGGGGCTGGAGAGATGGCTCAGTGGTTAAGAGCACTGCCTGCTCTTCCAAAGGTCCTGAGTTCAATTCCCAGCAACCACATGGTGGCTCACAACCATCTGTAATGAGGTCTGGTGCTCTCTTCTGGCCTGCATACATACACACAGACAGAATATTGTATACATAATAAATAAATAAATAAATATTTTAAAAAAATGAAATAAGAACTTGGGTTTTTGTAAAAAAGCCCATTCAAAATTCAGCACCAATGTGTTTATTTCACATTTAGAAGTCCATTCCCAACCATGAGAAAATGAGTGGCTAATGGCTTATTAAAAGCACAGTGCTAAATGAATCTACAGTTCTATGTTTGCTTCCATCAGAACTGTGGATTTATTTGCCAGCATACTAGTTAAGAGTCTTGTGAAATATTTTCCACTATTAGGCCCCCTTCAAATTTTTTGTTTCAAAAACTTTTCAGTGACATTGGTTGTTTTTTAATGTAATTTGAAATAAAGAAGCAAGAATAACAGCTATATAAAGCTAATATACATGCTAAGAAAATTGAAATAAAATATTAATATATCTAACACCTCTGGGTAGAGGGAATGCAAGCAACTTTCTCTCCTTTCTGTATGCTTCTTTTATTTCTAAAAAGTCTACATACCACAAAGTTCTGCAGACTAATAATTTAAAAAGTCTCAGTATAAATATTAGAAGTGAGCATATAGAATTCTTCTTCTTCCAATAATTCCCCATCACAATTTCTCAGCAAGCTATCCTGAGGGCTCTGAGTGGCTCACCTGGTTGTAATGCTTCATATTTTCAGCTTCACTTCCCCAGTCATAAGCTCTGAATTCATCAGATCGGTAAAGCTGCAACCGAAGTTTTAGAGAGGAGATTCAGGACAAGAGTCATGAGAACTACAGTGACGCTTAGAGAAATAACCAGGTGGGGAGGAAAAGGGACTCTGGGCTCTTAGAAGGAAGAAAACATCTTATCAAGACAGAGAATGTTGTTCAATAGACAGACTCAGATGGGTTTTCTGGTTTGAAGAAGAAACACACAGAAAAGTAAGCCCCATTAGAAAGCCAAGTCTCGGACACTTCTCTCTTGGAGGAAACTTCAACTCATTTCAGGGTGCCCTTTACTGAGGCTGAATGCGCATTTTACCAGCTCTAGTTTAAAATGGGATTGATTTGTGTTACACTTGCTCTCTACCATAACACTCTTTCTCCTCAAGTCCAGACAAATCAGTATTTGAAGAGGTAACAAGAACAAAAACAGAGACAGTTTCTAAGCTTCTAGAGACAAGCCCGTTGCAAGAGTGAAGTATGACCTTTGGCATTAACTGAGACAAGGATGGGCTGACTTTCCGTGAGAACGCTGTTACCTGTTTTATATGCAGGATGTTCTGGATTGACGTTCCCGTGGGAGCATGTGACATGTACACATCCAGTCGACTCTAGGAAGTTAAAAACAGCCATTCAAGGAAATAAACCATTTCTCTCAGAAACAGAGACCAGTAAAGAGTTCATAACAAATCCTGGTGCTTTGAAAAAGACAGCCAAACCATCACTATGAATATGTGTCTATGTGAAACATCTGACTGTGAGCAGACCTAGGGGGACACTGGCATGGGTTTCCTCAGGGAAACAATCTGCACTGTCAGAATCTTGGTGCAGGGTAAAACAGCCAAGGGAAGTGTTACGTGCAAGCCCAGGAACTGTGTATATAGATAGGTACAGGTGTGGTGTGTGCTAAGCAGACGTGTAGGTTGACACAGATACATCACAGATCCTGGGGGTTCAGGACCACATTTTGTTAGTTATCATCTTTAGAACTCTGGCCAAATCATTTAATTTGGGCTTTATTTTTTAACTACAAATAAATATATTAACTCAGTAGATATGAAAGGGCACACTTTTAACCCTAGCACTGGGTGATAGGGTAGGAAGCAGAGGCAGGAAGATCATTATGGGTTCAAGGCCAATCTAGGCTACAGCGTGAGGCTATGTCTCAGAAAACCGTAGAAACAAATACACAAACACACTAAAAATCCTGACCTGCTAGGTTCCTGTGGAGAGAAAACATACTGCAAGAATAAAGCTGGAATCCTTTCAAAGATTGCTTTAATCTGTGTGGAGATCATAGAGGCAAAAATGATGGCGTCAAATAATGATACCTGTACCTTAGATGTCATGATTCATATTCAGGGAAACTATTAGGCATTCTGACTTCTGAACAAAAAGGCCTTGATCAGTGGCTCCTCATGGCTGTAGCCTTTAACAGCACAGGGACGAGATAGATGGTGAGCAGTTCTTTAGGAACTGGCTTCATTCTAACTGACTCGTATTCTTTCTAATTAATGACTGGCAAATTCTCATTAGACTATACTAGGGATAGCGGTGCAACCACTCTGAAAATTTAGACTCCTTCTTCTTGAATTCTCAGTAACAGGAGAAATTAATTGCTAATAAAACAGAACTTTAATTTCTTCTTCAGAAATTTCCTTCCCTTCTGTACTAGACTTTCCATATTAAATAGTTAATTTTCCTTGAATCCCAAATCTTGAGTTACTGGCTACACCAACATAATAAGAGCACTGCTTACTCAAACTTCTCCTTTCCTAGAATTCTATTTTTAGTTTAATTTACCAAAATGAAGTAAACTGAAACCACCTTAGTCTCAGCTACTCGCAAGCATGTGGAAATATTCTTAACACTTATTAGAAAGTGTTCAGTCTCCTAATTTTGACAGACAATAGAATGAGTCTTTCCTTCCTCTTTCCTCATGTTCATGGTCTGTTGACATACCTAATCCTTCATGCATATCAAATATATGCCTTTAAGGGCTTGAAACACCTATGCATTTATATAATATAAGAGATAATGAAAGCTAAAATTTTTTCAAGCATCAAAAGATTACTTAGTTAATATACATACCATATTCATATTTTTTTTGTTGAATCCAGCCCACAGGGACATAAACTCACTACACAATGGTCGAAGCAGCTTTTGGTTGCAGATTTTGATGTAAGATGCCTTTGCCTTCTTATCTTCCAAAAAGAAACCTTTGGTACCAAACATATGCTAGGAAAATTAAAAAAAAAGGATATCCTTTTAAGATGTCTCCTTAAGTTCTTTGATATTTTCTTAGTTATAATAATGAACCAATTTGAGAATCTATTTGCATTTGCATTTATTTTCTATAGTAGAGTAGACAACAAATAACTTAGGGGAAGGGCATAATACAAATACAGAAGGGCATAAACCAAATACAGAAGGTCATAAATTGTAGTAAGCAGGCTTTGACTCCAAGTTCCCTTCTCCATGATTGATCTCTCCTGTAATCTGACTAATCAGTGATTTCTAAGTTTCTCATTCAGTGGTAAGAAAGATGAATGAGGTTTTCATTTTAAGATGAACTATTAAACTGTTATACTGAACAGGAAGTACACGAGGGTCTTATCAATATTTTTCATATATGTATTATCTGTGTATTTCTGTCCTAAACTAACCATTCTTCATGATAAAAAAAATAGAGAACAAAATACCAAAGAGAATTTGGTGCTAGGCATCAAATACCACAAGGACAGCACGTGAAAATATCCTGGGCTTGTGAATGTAAGCTAAGGCAGATCTCCTGTGTAGTCTAGGAACTGCACAGAAAATCAGTGGTGAGGGAGTCAGAGAGCTAGGTCTTAAAGAGGCAGGACCTCTGACAATAGGGAATGCATATAGAGAAGACACAAAAATCAGGCTCACATCTGGTGTATGTAAGAAGAGCAACGTGTTTTACAAACCTGATATATTTATAGATGGATGTTCACTTAACAAACTAGTTTAGTCAGCTGAGTGTGGTGGTCCAGGAGTTAGAGACAGGAAGACTGCCATATTAATTTAATGGGAGTCTCAAAAGATCAACAAAAGAAAGAATGGGAGAAAGAGAGGGAGAAAGGGAGGGAGGGAGGGAGGGAGAGAGAGAGAGAGGGAGGGATGAAGGAAGGAAGAAGAAAAAAAGGAAGGAAGGAAGGTAAGCAGACAGATGAACAGACAGACAAGAAACAGATTGATTCAATCAACCCTGCCCAGATGTAGATAGTAGTCAAAGCTAACCGATGACAACATATTTTGAAATTGTTAAATTCCCTCTGCTCAGAGTAAACAAGGCAATGAAACTGGTGTGTAACCAGTCATTTGACCATAGGAAAACATCTTCCATGTGTGGAAGGCATGGTTACTAATGTGCTCGCGTCCTTGTGCTCACTAATATTCCCTTTCATGCCCACAACTCCATCCCAAAGCTGTCCCAGAGCAGGGCCTCATCTTCTTTTGCAAGAATTATTGTGATCATCTAACTTTCTGGTTTCACTTTTGTACAAATTCATTTTTATAATCATTCCAAACTCAAAAGACAATATCAACAAACTATTAATATTATGCTTCAAGAAATGCTATTTGTAGCCATGACAAAAAGAAACTGAGACCAACAGAAGATAAAACCAAAACAACTCTCGAGGGAATGGAATTACAAATCCAAAATTGCTAATTGAACAATTATTTTTCAGCTTAAAAATTAACAATATTTAAATGAATACTCTAAGATATTGAAGGGCTGTACTAAATCTAGGTGTTTTAATAGAATAGAGTAAGCTTTTATATGGAAAAATGCATATGAGTAAAAGTTTTCTAATGTCTAACCTCGACATTCACCATCATACTTAATTTGAAGAAGGTCTTCTAATGGGATATTGAGAACCCACTGAGCCACCCAACTAAACAGAACAGAAAAATGTCTAAGTCATCATATTGGTTTTAGACTCAGCTCAACTGAAAGTCTATCCATGCCTCTCAGTAAGTCACTGAATTTAGCAAATTATATATTGGTACCTATAGAGAATATTGACATAGACATACACACATGGGAACACATACACCCTCAGGTACTTTCTCTTGGACGCTGATTTCTATTGATTTTGCTTAATGTTCCAACCTCTCTTTTATACAGATTTAAAAATAATAAGGATCTACGATATGAAGTGAGATCCTGAGAAAAATTTTGGCAAAATGAGAAGCCTACCTTGATTATGGACTTTGGAAGTAGGAAAAAACTGGTAAAAATGCTTGTGGGATATTTGAATGAGATCACAGGACCCAAGGCAAAATTCATTTTGATTCTTTGTGCCACTTCAGGCATGGTAGAAAAGGCTACAAACCCTGGGAGAATAGGAGACAAGACAATCTCATGAAAATTAGATATACTCACGCAAAATTTCATCAATGGGACTGAGTGGGATCCTGTTCTGTCATGCTTTGTCTTCCTACTGCACCGATCTTGGAGAGGAATTGGAAAGGTTCGCTGAGTTGTTCTGCCAAGATGATCCAACTTAAGTTCTAGCTAGCCACAAGTCCATATTTTTTCTGATACTGTTCTGAGCCACTTCAATGGTAGTAGCTGGCCAGTAAAGGAGGATCTGGTAAACTATGGAAATGGCACGTATGTGCACATATGCGTGATGGTCGTCCTAAATTCTAAGATGCTTGATGAGTCACAGTACTTCTAGAAGTAAACAGCCAGTTCACAGACACAAATGAAACAGTTCTTTCTGCAGTTGTTTGCAGGTGCACAAACAAGATTCCTTGCTTGCTTGTTTTTGTCATTGTTAATGTTGTGGGTGTCTTGCTGGATATTCATACCCCACCCACACCATTTCTAGCTTCCCAAAGGGAAGATGTTTCCCTTCGGTCCACAGTGATCTCACTGAGCAGATTAGTTTCCCAAGATGCATTGCTGTGTCTCTGCTGGAAATACACTCACAAACACACATAGAAATACTTACTGAAATGTTAACACTATTGAGGTCGTGGAAATTAGCTGAGCCACTGACACTGGGCTAGGTAGACAGCTTGCCTTCAGAGGATGTTAGGAAATGCACGGAGGTTAGTTGTTTGGTTGTTACCCTTTATGGACAGACATTTAGATGCTAGAGTCAGGGTTAACAAACAACCTAACAACCTCAAAACTTTTCCTCTCCCAGGCTTAGAAAATGCTATCAGCATGACGAACTGATCAGCCTCTCCTTCTGTGGATTAATAGTGATGGCAGTAATGGGTATACTTGAATAACGTGGAAATCTTAAGATATTTACCATTTCTTCCAGTTTTGCTCATTCTAAAATGCCACAGCTTCTCACGACTAAGTCTCCTAAACTTGGAAACTTCAGTGGAAGATCAGGAACAAATTCAAATCTCTGTCAATATAATTTTTTTAAATTTTTTCTTTGGAACAAGAGCATTGATTTCTTTTCAAAGTGTCTGGGCAAATCTTAGGCTGGGTGTGTGGCTCAGTGGTAGGGTCCTTGCAGAGAATATCTGAGGCACTGAGTTCTAGCCCCAGTGCTGTAGAAAAAAAAAACAACTAAAAGAACCAACTGTCTAGGAAATCATAATTTTACATTTAAAATAGAAAATAAGTTATATAAATTTTTATTTTCTAAAAGATATTTTGTAAATATTGCATCATATATATATAATTATCTAGTTGATTTATTAGAGCAAGTTTTTGTGTTTCAATTCACAAACAAACGTGACAAAGTAGGTTCAAATTACACTTGCACCGTTGCTTTTCACTTGCTTAACTTATATCTGGGTTGTGATGCGCATGTGCCTGATGTGGATTTTTCTGTTTTTCTGATTTGCTGGTTTGTCTTGTTGCTTTAAGTTTTACTTTCTCAGCATAAAATAAGCATCTGGAAGCCTTATCTTTAGAATTACCTCCCTGGGTTTTGCACATGAACTATTTCTGGAGACTAATGTCACTATGACAGTTGTGTGTGTGTAGGGGGCGGGACATGACCCCAAATGGGGTTGGTTGGGCCCTTCATATTCATAACTCTTGGATTACAAGTTCACAGGTCCTTAGGAGGTATATTGTCAGCACAGGACAGAGAATGAAGAGCAATATAAATAGCAAGCAATTACTTTGCTCCAACTGTGTTGTGACACCATTAACCCTTATAAACAAACATACCTATTGTAGTGCCGAGTGAATGTCCAATGAAGTACAACTTCTCCTGGCCTGTTTTCTTTACAATGAAGTCTATTATTCCTGGGAGGTCATATTTGGCCATTTCATCAAAACTGTATAATGAAACAACATATAAATACATACAGCTTTAGTTTTAAAACTCAGACACTTGCTTGATTCTTTCTCACACAGGAGCTCTGTGCCACCTTCGTATTCGGGGTGTGTATCATTACGCACCCAGTTAAATGGAGACTATTGCTTCTCTTTGTGCAGTTTTTCTGTTTATTTTCTGCTAGCAGGGATGGGTGCAGGAGTAATGCACACTCTCTCAAGTTCTGCATTCTCTTTTCTCGCACTCCTCTTTGCTCCCCTTTCTTGCTTTCATTCTCTTTTTTGCTTCTAATTTCCCTATGGTATTGATGACTGGTATTCAATACCCATCACTGTTGTCATTTGTGATCCTACCATTTGCTAGATGAGCAACATTAGGGAAGTTATCTAAACATTATGACTGCAAGTATGTCCCCTTGGAAAAAGAACAGGGAATCCCTGGTGTGTAGGGCTGCTGTGGGGCTTAGATTGTATGGAAGAAATGACTTGCCTGTTAGTTAGTAGGTATTTAATCTGATGTCATTGTTAGTACTTGTGTATATATACACATATGTATTTATATATATATACACATAAATTCATGTATATGTATACATATTCAATATTCTATAATATCAATACCAAAATTCTATATTCATTTAGCATCCAGTGAGGAGAACAAAAAGGACCATATCATATTAAGTAAAATCCAGTATCCCATGAACTTGTAAAAAGTACACATGAGGGGACCAATAAATTGATACAACCAAGTGTGAGAGAATTGTGGTACCTTACAGAGAATCAACTCTATGCTTTCTGCCAAAGATTAGAGAAACAAAATTTTTCCTAAATTTTGTCCCTCCACACAGCAGTAGCTCTAACAATTTATTCCTCTCTTTTTCTCCTCCAGCCCTGTTTGGGGATTGATGACTATGGGTTGGTACGAAAAATGATACGTTCTCTATTCTAACAGCACAATTCAAGTTAACTTGGTCCTTTAAAAGGGGAGTCTATGAGGGACAACCCTGTCTTCTAGTGACAGAAAAAAGTTCTACTGAAATAAATTGTCAGAGTATCAAAACTTCTTATTAACTGTTTGTTAGCATTTTTAAAATGTCACATTGGAGTTTTCCCTAAAATAGTATACTATACAATCTTTTTCCCTTCCCTTCTCTGGGTCTCTTTTTTTTCCTAGTTGCTGTCTATTTATATGTTATTTTAAGTATAGTCATGTTGTTTTAGCAAGGCCTGAACTACAGCTGGACTAGAATTCACAATATAACCCAGGAGCCTCTAACTCGTGGAAATCCTCCTGCCTCCTCAGTATTGTCATTACAAGCATAAGACACCTTATCCTGGCAGTATTTAAATGATTACCATTTCTTTAAATAAATATAATATGCATATCATTTTTCAAAATGGATTGCATAAGAGAAAACATTAGCAAAAACTACTAGCAGAATTAATTCTGCTTTTTCATTTGGATATATTAAAAACCATAGGGGTTTTGTAACCCCAAATATTATGGATTAGCCATGACTTTATATTTAGGGAAATCCCTCTAATTTTTCATAGATTTTTCTTAGATACAGTTTACCTAAAAGCCCAGAATTTCTCTTCATTTGCTGAGAGAGTTTTGTGTCTTCTTGACCAAGTGTTTCCCCGACTGTTTCCCATCCACACATCATAACCCGCATCTGCTAAGAGGAACCCAAGGCTTCCATTGGCAAAGTTCTCAAGCCAATAGGCATTGTCTGCAAACAAGGCATGCTGCAGATACACAACTGGCCGGGGACCTAGGGGACAGGTGTGAAGAGAGAGAGCAAGAGAAATTTATAGCCAAGAACAATATAGAAACACACATGCACACACGTGCACGCACACATGCACACACACGCACACACACACTTATGCACACATACATGCATGCACACACATGCACACACACACTCATGTACACACACGTGCACGCACATGCACACGCACACGTACATGTACACAGAGCCTACCTTTCCCCGTTTGTCACTTGAGTATTAGTTTAGAGTATTAAATCCATATCTCCAGCTGCTGGAGTACAGATTATACCATGATGCTGAGCTGACTGGTGTGCACGAAGCATCTTCTTGACTTCTTAGAACAATTTAAAAAGTAGCTTATATTTTGAAGAATGTTTTACAGGTGTACAAACCAAGTTTTAAATAGTTAAATAACGTTCCTAAATGGTCTCCTTAGTAACAAGTTTCAGAACAGTAACTGAAAACTGATTGGGTCTCATGTCAAGGCACACAGCTCTGACTGCTCTGTTCTTTTTGTGGTTGCTGGTCTATAGCACATTGGCTTGCGATTTTTCAGCACTACCATGGTACAAATCAATACATGTTCAATATAAACCATACTTCAGCTGGGCGGTGGTGGCGCACGCCTTTAACCCCAGCACTCGGGAGGCAGAGGCAGGCGGATCTCTGTGAGTTCGAGGCCAGCCTGGTCTACAAAGGGAGTTCCAGGACAGGCTCCAAAGCTGCAGAGAAACCCTGTCTCGAAAACCCAAAACCCAAATTAATTAATTAATTAATCAATTAATTAAATAAACCATACTTCAATTGCAATTGTGATTTTTCTCCCCCAGGGCTAGAAGAAGCAATATGATCTTTCTAGATGCCACACAAGGCAACCTTATGCCTCACCTCCTAGACAGTCATGGTATCAATCACAAGGGCAAAGCACTACAGTGTTCTGTGTGTTTGAACTATATTTAGTTAGTTAGGTGCATTAAACAATTTTTCCTCAGGCTATTTTCAATTTACATTGGGTTTTTTAGTGCATAATCCTATTCAATGTTGATTAGCACCTGCATACATGGCTTGCAAAGATGTAAAGTTTTTGATGGCTAACAGAGCTCTGCATCAGACCTAGGGAGGAAGCAGAGATACAGGAAAGTAGGCACAGACTTGTTCCTTGTCAAACATCTACCCTGTTCCCTAGCTTTTGCTCACTGGAGAGCATTTGCAAACTATGACAGTAGAATAAGCTAGACATCCTTCTGCCCAATCCCAGGTTTACAAGTGTTATAGAATATTATTTTAAGATGTGTTACCTATGTTTATGCTGTGGAACTTTTGTTTAATGATGCAAAGATGTGTTGCATTCTTTTATATTGCATTTGTTTAATTCTATGAACTTGCGTTACTTTCCTCATGTGAAACACCCGATTGGTCTAATAAAGAGCTGAGCAGCAAGCTGAATAGCAAGGCAGGAGACAGGATGGGTGGCGTTGGAAGGCAGAGTGAATAAATAGGAAGGGAAATATGGGAAGAGAAGAGCAAAAGGAGAAGGAGAGGAGGACTCCAGCGACCAACCACTCAGCTACATAGCAAGAGTAAGAAGTAAAGAAAGGTATACAGAAATAGAGAAATGTAAAAGCCCAGAGGCAAAAGGTAGATGGGATAATTTAAGAAAAGCTGGATAGGGAAATCAGAGAAGCATCACCTTTCACGATAGCCACAAATAGCATAAAATATCTTGGGGTAACTCTGACCAAGGAAGTGAAAGATCTATTTGACAAGAACTTTAAGTCTTTGAAGAAAGAAATTGAGGAGGACACCAGAAAATGGAAGGATCTCCCTTGCTCTTGGATTGGGAGGATCAACATA